TAGCTGTACTAAATAGTTAAATCAAACATAGCCAATTAAATTGAGAGGGCGGCTAAATTGGGTGCTAGTTAAGTCGATTTATCAAAATTTTGCCCAGTCCTACCAGGCAAGGACTTGATTGTGCATACAAAGGAAATGAAAATTTAGAGGCTAAAATGAGGATTCCCGTCTTTTATGACATGATATTCTGGGAGATTTCTCTGTAGTCAACAGCATATCTATTTGGAGAGGACCTCCTTGTGAGCTTTGAATGAGAGAATCACATTCCAAATCAAAGCAACAAAGTTGGCAGCAAGGACCTGAAATTGTAGCATGGGATGCAATTTTGAGAATTAAACAGATTAAAAGGCATATATGGAATATGATTCATTCACAATGTCTGTTGGCGGTAGTTTCATGAACCCTTTTTCCTAGGTGGTAATGGGATGCATCAATCAGTGTGCATAAAACTTGGATGTTGTGAGGATTTATTGTAAACGAATCAATGTCAAAAAGCATATTATATTGAGATGTGATTCGTGTTTGATAAGGGAAGAATCTCAACGGAAAAATTTTTAAAAGGTGCATGGAGAAGAACATTAGGGTTATTCGAACCTGAAATTGCTGAGGGACAAAACGGAAGTTGAGAAACTGGAATGGAATCCAGAGCTGCCAGTTTACGAGAACAGATGAAATCCACTCCTGTAAAGCAAACTCCAATGTGAGCAATTTGTTTTGCTTTGTTAAAGTTGAACTAAATATAAAGTACAGCACCTGTTGAAGTTTGGGCACAACTTGTGCTGGCTTCCCCTCTAGTGTCATCAATGTAGATAGGAAAACTCCAATGAATGTAGGACTGAAGACAAACTACAATATATATTGTCCCATAACAAGAAAAGAAATACTTTTAACATGGAATTTTTACGGTAGCAGGCAGCATTATTAACATTTGGTAATTGAATTTGATACAGAGATATTTAAATCACCTGATCCAGCAGAAGTCGTAGAAAAGCACCGGATGCTCCAGGCACCGTTACCAATTTACTCAGGTACAAATACCTAAATTGATAAAAGAATCCATGTATTAGAAAGGAAAACAATATAACACAAGCAGAAGAAAATACTTTACAGATTAAAAATTATATTTGGCTCCATATGTAGAAGTCTTTCTTCGGCCAGCAAATAATTCCAGACAGCCTTAACATGGGTTCCCCAGAATCAAATCCATTCAATACAGAGTCTAATCTGAGACTCTAACCAATTTAGTGAAGCAGGAAACAATAATTGGCCAAGCATTTACGAGAAGAATACATATGAAACCAGAACATAAACTGATAGAATTATGAAAAGATAGATTCAGATGGAAAACAGATTGAAAGTGAAAAAAGAAAGAATTCAAGTACTCATGTGAAAGTAGTTTTCTAACCATATAGAGGTACCATAAGCATGTAAAGCTAGGAATATGAAGCATTACCAGAAATGCAATGTTGGCCCAACTAGGACCAGCCCAAGCAGAGTAAACAGGAATGTCCTTTTGACATCTAATGATGGCACTTGATCAATTGCGAGCTGTAACATTCAGTAAGATCATGGATTATTACCATTTTAACTCAAGAAAATGTGAGGTCATTTATGAATGTGAACTGAAACCTGAAGTTTCCAGTATTATAGAAAACTAGAATTTCTGGTCATTTTTAGTACCATGCTCATTCAGTGTACCACAATGAATGACTCAAAAATTACTCTTAAAATCATAAAAGAGTTAAAATTTTCAATGAAATTAAAAGAGGATACCAACTCAGAAACCATAACACATCAAGTAACTGCAAACTTGACCTCTTTACTTATTTATTTTTGGGTGGGGTGTGGGAGACTCTGACTACATAGAAGGAAACCAGATTCAGTTAATTATTTAAAATATGCTCCTCACTTCTACTTCCAAAACTAGCAAGGAAATGAATAGGTAGCATTAATGACTTAAGGCTTTGGAGTCTGCAATCAAAATTCAATCAATCTTCTATAGATTCGGCTCTAAAGAAGAGCTTAAGAGTGTTCAATTTCATCCACGTTCTAATGTCTATTAGAACACTTCTAACAATGCAAATGAAGCTAGTTGGAGAATATTTGCAGCATCCTCAAAAGGTGTTCAGAAGGCATGCTTCACACCAAGTTAATACCTCCAGAACCACCCTTTCTTGCTGTCTACATCACATTGTTTTGTTTCTGTTAATCAAGGCAACATAACTCCAGCACCCCACTCAGTTCCATTTCCAACTAACTATGCCAGAAAACCAGAAAACCAAAAATTCTAGCATAAGAAGAGTTAAAGATATTATTTATCATTGAAGTTAATGTACTGAGATTAGCAAGATGCAAAAGCAGTACAAGCACTACTTTGAACAATCTACTTAAAATTGACAATATAAAAGGGCTAAAAGGAAATACTCAGAAGCTAATAAAGAAACACTAGAGGGAAGAGACTCATACTGCATAGTCTTTGTGGATGGAAACTCTAGTATATTACCTGGCAAATCAGATCTCCAATCAAAGTCAAAAGCGCAGATGTTATGGCTTTAGTCAACACAGGATACTTTGCTAGAAGATCTAGATACCTGTAATAATATTAAATTCCAGATGGAAAAATACAATAAGATAACCTTCAGAATCTCCAATATTTGTGAGAAGGATAAATGAAAGTGACTAACAGTAAAACATTCATCTCATTCACAGTCTCTTTCCCTAATCAATCTATATGTCAAGCCCACATCAAGAAATCAAATTGCAGATAAGGAGAAGCAGAATATTCCCACCTCAAAATGCAGTCAAGTAAAAATCAAACAATTTAACTAAAGAACAAAATTTTTGCCTCCAGAAGGTCTTTAATTGCATTAGTGTCATATCATAGAAAATAAGAATGGTTTCTTCCTCGAAAAAAGGGATGACAAATTACAAACATTAGCAATTCAGAGTGAGTGCTTCACCTAACTCATGAATTCCATAGCAGATATTTAGGAAAGAAAAGGTTGAGAATTTCAAAAGTATTAGTTATCAGTTATCACAGTGGAATCCATTGCCTATTTTCAAAAGTTATCACAATGGAATGAACAGTTCAAAAGGCAAATAAAAGTAGATATCACAATTCATTACCATGAAAGCAAGGACCAACTTCCTTCTCCACTACCATCAGCACCTTCGCTTCCATCGCCAGAATTCCCACCTCCAGAGCCTCCAAATCCATCATTTCCACCGGACCCACCACCCGACACTGCTGAAACGCGGAAAGAGTCCAAACCCAATTGCTTAAGTCCCATTTTGGAAACACCCACATCATTAAATCGAGCTCCGTCACTAGAATTCAAATAAGTTGAATGAGAACAACCCAAGGAAATGCCCTCAAATCTTCTCCTCTGAATTGGTTTCGCGAAGAGCTGAGCATGGGGACCAGACGACGAAATGGGTTCGCGAGTACAATCCACAAAACAGTACAACAGCGGGGATTTGCTGGTTAGAGCTGCAAGGATTGAAACCATGGTTTTCGCTGAGAACTTGATAGGGCCCTTGGGACGCTGTGGGTTTTAAGTGGCGGGGTAAGACTGAGAGAAGGCCTGGCGCTCAACTCGATATTCAACAGTGGCTCAAGAGATGGTTAAGGACCTGCTTGGTTGGTTGGGGAAAACTTTTACTTTTATAAAATTATTTATGTATTTTTATAATTTAATATTATAATAAAAAGAGATAAAATAATTTTTTATTTTTTATTTTTCTTAATATAATTATCAATTAATAATTTTTTTTACATTCTTTGAAAATAAAAAGTTTTTTTTTCTAATGTTTTATACATGAGGGGTACTTAATAACTTTTTTTTTTTATAAATTTTTGTATGTCAATTTATTATTAAATATAAAAAAATTAATAATTTAATAAAATTTTATTATAAAACATACAAACTTTTTATATAATATTTTTTTAGCTTTTTGTATGGTATTTTCTGAATTACTTTCCTAATGAAATTGGCTTTTAATCAACCGAGCCCAAACCACGAATTCCGGTTTTCAATTTTGGTATGGGCTTCTAATTTGATCTGATAACTAAATAAATCTTTATTTTGATTCTTAAAGTATTAAGTTTTGGCCTTTTTTTTTTTAATCCTGAAATAGAGATTTATTTAGTTTATTAACTAAATTAGGAGTTTATACCAAAATTTAGGGATGAAAATTGAGGTTTAATCTAATGACAATTTTATGATTAAATAAACTTTTAAAGCCAATGTGAAAAAAATTTTTGTCTATATATATTAATTTTTGTCATGTAAAATTTTCATGTAATTAATTTTAGGAAAGAAAATATACCTTAACATCAATTAACATACTATGTAAGCTAAAATTTAATAATAATAATAATAAAAGAGTTGAAGTTTGAAAACTTTCAAGACTAAAACATTCAGTTTAGGAACCCAAAATCACGAATTCCTAATCAAGTTGGGGAACCAAAATCATAGTTGTTAAAGAAAATATTAAAATTACAGCCAAAGCCCTCAACATTTTGGATGAAATGCAGTTAAGCACATCAATGTTTTTTTTAAGTAAATAAGCCCTCTTTGTGTAGGAGTTTTATCATTTTTACACGTTACTAATAAAGATTTTGGTTTGGTTTTATGAGAGCACATCATAATTGGTAGGCATTATGTGTTATCCATTCATGTTATATAATCATTAGCTCTTACATATTTTGATGTGGTATCTCCAAACTTAAAAACTTTTTCTCCTTTTAATGTACATGTTGGTAGGAAAAGTATCCACTTTAGGTTATTATTATATTTAACTTTTATTCTTATAGTTACCGCAAAAAATAGTAGTAAAAATGTTATTTTATTATTTTATTTTAAAGTTATTTGCAAACATTGTTTACTAAAAAAAATTCATTTGAAAGTTATTATATTATGTTTGGTTTTTATTTTGAATAGGTGAAAATGCTCACTTGACATTATTTAACTAGTGTAGTAATTCACTTTATTTGAACAAACATACCCATAAAGTTGATATAAGATTACATGTCACTTGCCATGCTTAGTTTGTCATTTGTCCATATGAGCAATATTTATTTATTTGCGACATATGGGTTCATTAATAAATTTAGTTGTCTTTCAAAAATTCAAGAGAAATATCAAGTTTCTTTTGTAAAGTAATATGCCACATTAGTGCAAAAAAAAAAAAAAACATGCCATGTTAGCTTTTATATGTAAAAAGATTATCCATGCATGCAATGAGCTTGACCAAAAACAAAAAGAAACATAGCATAGGAAAGTTAAAGGATATGCAAAGGTGAACCATGCAAATTCATAGGGTTAATTTTGGATTTATTTGTCTTTTGTCATAATTCAAATGTCTCAATTGTTAAGAATTTGAGTTTTTATATTAAAAATCTCATTTCAAAATTTGGGTGAGGAGAGGTTTAGAAAGGGGAGGACTATTTTGTTATATAGTCTATTATTTAATGTACAAAAAAAAATCATCTCACTTAATTACTACTAACATATTTGGGTTTATTTGTCCAGTTCTAATAGATAGCTTGCCTCACAAAATAGTTGAGGGACTCAATTGCTTTTATTTGTAAATGTGAAGGGGTTACACAAGTTGTGCCAAAAGAATATAGCAGCATTACACATTTCTTTGGAGTAAATGTGCAAATAAGGATTCTAACTTTGCACTTTTTT